TGGCCTTAAACACCCAAAAGGAAAGTATAACCAAAGATTAAAAGGGCCAATATAATTTTTTAAGAGTCCATATGCATAGCTAAAGGCTACATAACAAGCAACAATGCCAGATAGGAGATACCTTCTTTTGAGTTATTGGCCAAGGTGCCCAAAAGGACTCCCAGATAGTAACCCAGCACAGAACTGGGAAAATGAACAGCAGACCCCAATCTTATCTAAAGGAATATTGACAACTGATTGCTGCTAGATGAGGAACAGCTGACTCTCCTAAAACAACGACCTCTAGATACGCTGACTAGATTCACCAGAAGGGCAAGTAGTGGGGAATGGCTGGGGGTGCTGACAACACAGCAGACAATAGGAGGGATATCAGAGTATAAGGGCTCTAGTTGGGGGAGGGAGGATATGGGAGAGTGCCATCTGGGAAGTGGGTGTATAGTTGAATAAGATGGTTTGGGATGTTCTGTTTGATATATACACACACAAAAAAAGTCAACAAAATTTTAAAAATGTATTATATTTGAGGAGGAAGCATGGAAATTTACATCATGCTAATTAGTAGAGGTGATAAACATTTCCAATGAAATCTACCCTATGACTTTATAGACATACACAGGTGCCAAGGATCCAAATGCAACCGATTATGACTAGTAATAATCAGATGCATACAGATTAGAGATGCATGTGCCAACATCTCAGTGTTAGTAGCAAAAACAACGAGTCTTTCTGCAAGGAACAATATGTTCTAAAATGAAATGAGATCTTTTTTAAAGGTTAAAACTCATTCAATGTTGTCTTACAGTGCTTATACTGAGTTCAATATTGTATAACTGTATTAATTCAACTGTGAACCTAGAAACTTGCCCCTGGTCATGAAAGAGATGTACTCTTGCTCTGGAGTGTGTCACTGATTATGTTAAAGCTGTAGTGAAATATTTCTTCTAATCAAGTAGTTACTAAAAATTAAAAAAATAATAATTCTGCTGGGCGTGGTGGTGCACGCCTTTAATCCCAGCACTCAGGAGGCAGAGGCAGGCGGATCTCTGAGTTCAAGGCCAGCCTGGTCTACATAGTGAGTTCCAGGACAGCTGGGGCTATAGGGAGACCCTGTCTCAAAAAGACAAAAAAAAAATTCTTCAAAGCATAAAAATTTGCTCCTTAATAATTAGTAGATGTGAAAAACATTACCATTGAAATCTACCTGACGACTTTATATTCATGCTCAGATGCCAGCCCCTCTCCATTTTTTTTAAAAGAAAGGATGTACATATATAGACTAGGCTCGTCTTGAATTTTTTAACTTTCACTGATTTCCTCCCTCTGCCACCTGAGTGCTGGGATTACAGAATTACAGGCATGAGCCATCACATCTGACCAGTACTCACCTTTCATTTATGAAAAGTGTCTGGACTCGGCGCTAGAGAGATGGCTCAGCGGTTAAGAACACTGGTTGTTCTTGTAGAAGACCTGGGTTCATATCCCAGCACTCACATGGCCACTAACAACTGTCCTAACTCCAGTTCCAGGGGCTCCGACAACCTCTTCTGTCCTCCACGGCATTGCACGACACAGGTGCACTTACCTACATGCAAGCAATACATGCATACACATAAAATAAAAATAATAAAATTTAAAAAAGAGAAGTGTCTGGACTCCATGTGGTGGGAAGGCAGAGGCAGGAGGGTCTCTGAGTTCAAGGCCAGCATGGTCTACATAAAATAAAATTTAAAAAACGAAAGAAAGAAAACTTTCCTTGAGTATATTTGCTTCTCTGGCTGGGAAGTGCTACAGCAGCCCCAGAGTCATCCCTGTTTCCCAGCCATGACTGTGGGTGAAGTCCTTTGTCTCCAAGCTCTTTGGGGACACATTCTGTTTTACGAAGCCACTGCCAAAATTGCAGCAGCAGGCACCCGGCCTCCCACTCCACTGCACAGCCAGAGATCTGCATTGCTGAGAACAGCAACAAAAAGAGGTGCCTCATCACTTGCTGTAAATAACTGGCACTGAGGCCAGGGTGAGGGGACCTGGGCCAAGTGAAGAGAGGGGATGACTCCCATGGGAGCTGGGCATCAGACAGCTTTTCATTCATTCATTTTTTCATTCATCCATTCACTCATTCATTCAGCTAACAGTTTCTAGCCACCTACAATATCCTAGGCACTCCTAGGGTTTGAAGATGCAGCAGCGAGCAACCCCCAAACCCCGTTTTAATAGAACAGGATGGGTGTGACAACCACAATAACTTTTTTCCCCTTAGTGTTTACTATGGAGTTAAGCTTACACAATAATCACAAGCATTGATACTATTATTAACCTATTTTACAGATGGAGACAGGGAGACACAGCTGTGTGATTGCCGAAGGTCACACAGAGTTACAGCACAGTCCCCCACTGCTGCTAAGACTGACCTCTTAGGCTCCTTTTTAAAGGATACCAGATTTGGAAGGCACATTCTTGTAAGAAAAATTCAAATACAGATAAAAGTCACGTTTTACTGTTGCATTCTTACCTGGAGCACTCTACCCCAGAATGGGTTCTCTTCAGGTCTTGTACATGTTTTAGAAATGCTTAGGATTCAACCCCTGGACTTTTGTATGCAAGGCAAGTACTGTAACACTGAGCTACCCCATCAGCCCCATAACACATTGCTTCCACCTGCCCCAGGGAGGTTCTCATGTAGCCCAGGCTGGCCTCAAATTCAATATGTACCCAAGGTTGGCCTTGAATTCCTAATCTGCCTCCACTATCCATAATGCATTACTTAAAATTTTTGATCTCCCCTCCCCTCCCTCTCCCTTTCTTTGTTTACTTGAGACAGGGCCTCCGGTAGTCTTTTTGAAACAGGGTGCCCCTGTAGCCCCATCTGGCCTGGAATTCACTGTGGTAGTGTGTTTCCAGTTTTCCGATATGACAATGCTGCCATTCACAACTTTAGCAAAGCTCCGCTGATCCTCTTGCCACAGCAAAGTTGGAAAAGTTTCTTCTGGAAGGTGCCACGTGAGGAAACCTGGGAAAACAACTGCCCTGTCTCAAAGAAGTCCCTCAAAAAATACACCTTAACCTGTGTCTTTAAGCAGCTCGCGGCCCCTCTGGGAGTCGTAGTTCTGGAGGTTCGCGGAATTCTCCCAGGTAATTTAGCGCCGGACGCAGCCGGGCGAGCTGGAGCCCGAACTCCATTTCCCAGGACGCACCGGGCTGGGCGCGCAGCCGTGTTAAAGAGCCGGCTAAGTGAACGCCCGGTGGGGCAGCAGGTATGTGGGTCCGCGCCGATCCCCAGCCCGGTGCCGCTTTGGGGTCCATCGTACCGCGGTCCTCACAGGGTAGGGTTTCCGGTAGCTCTGCCAGCCTCGGCGCCAGCGTGCGCTGGGCACTTCTGTCTTGTAGCTTTCTCTTGGCCCGGGTCTTTTCACAGGAAGCCCTGGACTTGCGGACACCCGGGACACTTGAGTCGTTCTTCCTCCTCAGTTTACCTCACCAGGGCTTCTCATTCACACATTTGAAGAACATACGGTTTATGTAATTTGCAACCTGATTTTACTCCCAGTTAGCTTCTTTCTGCCTCCTGTTCTTCAGGAAGTGGCAAATTAGAAACTTCCAGGAGACTGAGTTTTTTTTTTTTTTAACCTTCAAATATTTTAAAGTGCGGAATGGTGCAAATTTCTTCCTTGCCTGTTCCACATTTCTTCAAAGAGCTTATATGGGCTGGTCATGGTGGTCCAGGCCTGTAAACCCAGCACTGGGAGGTGGAGGTAGAGAAGGGAGAGTTCAAGGCCAGTTTGGACTACGATAGTGAGACCTTGTCTCAAAAATCTGAGTGTGTGTGTGTGTATCCGTCAGTCCTAGGCTTCATTCTCTATCCTATAATTTTGCTGAGGACAGCAAGATATATTTCAACTCAGGCTTGAGGGTATAGCTCAGTGATAGAGCACTTCACATGGTGAAGCTCTAGGTTGTATACCTTACATTGAAAAAAAAAAAATTGGCTGGTGAGTTGGTGCAAGGTTTAATTATAGCATACAGGAAGTAGGAGGAAGAAGATTGGGAGTTTGAGGCCAGTCTGGGGTACATGACCCTGACTTAACAACAAAAAATCCAATTTAGTTTGGACAAATGACTTTCCGTTAAAGTGGTCCCAGTGTTGGAATAATTAGGTTTCTGTATTCTAAGATTTCTATGCAAATGCCACATATGACAGGTCTGACTCCAGGGCTGTTTCTCCTGAGTGCACAAAGATTGACACACACCCAGCTGCCTGCACTAGCTCTACCTGACCTTAGGCAGCCAGTTTGGTCTTTAAACTGTGGTTTTTTATCTGTGTGGTGTGATAAAATCAACTCAGGCCGTTGTTTGGCTCCTATGAGCAGAGACTAACTACAATGGCTTTGGCATGGTGCCTGAGAAACACTCCCTAAGTGTTTCCGGAGACTGTCCCTGATTGTTATTTTCTTCTTCTTCCTCCTCTCCCTCTTCCTTTCTTCCTTCCTCCTCTCTTCCTTCTCCTTCCTCCTTCCTCCTCCTTCCTCCCCCCCTTTTCCTTCTCACACTATTGGGTGATATATGATAATGGCTTCCTCTAGGGTACTGCTTGACCTTCTCTGGGTCTATACACTGTGAGACTTACCAGAGGGAAGCAGCTTGTACCGAGACAGCTCTTACATCAGTGGGTCTGGGGTGTAGGGGCCCGTTTGTCTTCTAAAATAATCTGGGAAACAACTTTGTGCTGAGACAGCTCTTAATGCAGCTGCCTGGTCAGTTCCTGTTTTGCAAGGAGGTCTTAGGGCTTCCTGTTTTGCAAGGGGACTTCGCCACTCTGGGGGGAGGGTCTTCTGCAGACCTGGACTCTGACTCTCTCTCTCTCTCTCATTTATTTATTTATTTATTTATTTATTTATTTATTTATTTATTTATTTATTGAGACAGGGTCTCACCATGTATCCCTAGCCTGGAATTTCCCATGTAGACCAGGCTGGCCTCACCAGAGACTGGCCTGCTTCTGCCTCCTGTATGCTGAAATTAAGGTGTGTGCCACCATGCTTGCCTTTTTTCTCTTTTTTCTCTTTTTTCCTTTTCTTTCTTTATTTTTTAATTTTTTGAGATGAGAGTTCTGAAAGCGCTGGAGATGCTTCAGGCCACACAGTGGATTCACGGCTACATTGGAGTCCTCTTGCCTCCTTTCCAGGGAAGGTCAGGTGGTACCTAGTGGAAGCTTTTGCCCTCAGGGGCCTCCTCAGTTCTAGATCATATTTCCCTTTTGGGCCAAGCCTGGTACAAAGCGTTTCTGTTATAGAACAAGCTTTTCCAAAAAGCTTGGAGGATCATAGGCGTTGCTAAGTGATGGTGTAGGGCTTGGAGGCAGCCGAGTCTGACAAAAGCAGTGACTGTCACTGAGGTTCAGCTGTCCTGTTGGCTTTTGACTGGGACATAGGCAGACCATGAGATGAACACTTTGGGCACATCATGGGCAGTGGCATGTGGCTTGCTTCTGCTGTCCCTCCTCACACTGAGCTTTGGGAACTGGAGGAATGAACGGGGTGATGAGTGGGCTGTATCCATTGCACAGTACAATGGTAGGACACTCCTGAAGACCCCCTCTACAGATGGTCCCTAGAGGCCCAGGCTCTGGAGTCAAATTGGTTTTCTCTCTGGTTAGTGGGCCCTGAGATAGGGTCAAGCCATAGCTTTGACCTTACTTTGCCTACATTTGACAGTGCTCAGAGGAAGATGGCTGACAGGTCTGGTGCTATCCCTTCCAGCTTAGCACCTCTGAGAGGGACATTGAGTATTGGTGCTGGGGATTATACCCAGGGTCTCATGCATCATTGAGTATGGGGATCCCTCTCAGCAAGCTGGTGTGTCCTTCCCATAGTTGCCTCCACAGAATCCCCTCAGCCTGAGGGACCTGGGAGGTTAGTGTTCCCTTTCCCTGGCTCATATCCCAGATTGAGTGATTGGTGGCTGGTGGTACAGAAAGGGTGGCCCCTTGCTTAAGATGAGACCAAGGTCATCCTTGTTCTCACCTCACTTCCTCTCTCCTAGTACACTCCTCCAGGACATTACATTCACTATTTTAGAAGGCCAACCTGGTCATGATGTCACACGCCTGTAGCCTCTTAGCACTTGGAAGAGAGAGAGGCATGGGGAGCAGGAGATCAGGGCCAGCTTTGACTACAAAGTGAGTTTGAAGTCAGCCAGGGCTACATGAGATCTTTTCTCATGAAAATAAACAGGGCCATCAAGATAGCTCAGTGGCTAAAGTTGCATGCTGCGCAAACCTGGCAACCTGAGTTTGATCCCTGGAATCCATATAAAGGTGGAAAAAGAGAAATCCTCTGACTTCCATATGGGCCTGCGGGGATCTCGGGGCGCCAGCTGCTGGGCATGCTGCTGGTCTCCCACACGTCGCTGGAGTGCGGCGGGTCCCGTGGGGCACGTCTGCTGAGGGGCGCAGGTGTCCCTC